GCCTTGGGACAGGCCAAAAGTGGTCACTATAGGCAGGTGGTCTTTATACACAGGTTACTCAAAGCTTGGGACAGGCCAAAAGTGGTTACTATAGGCAGGTGGTTTTATATAGAGATGTTCTCTAACACAGGTTTGACTGTACCACAATATATTGCACAATTCACAAATTAGATGCATAAGATGCAGGTGGTTGTATATGTGGAGTGAATTGTACAATATATTTATTAGACACAACATTGTCTCCAAAGAGTTCAGCAGTAAGGTCACGAAAGTTATATGACAAGAACAAAACAGGGGGGAAACGAAACAAAAAAAAACATGAAATTAGAGATAAGAATGTGATTTGCTCTCTCTATATAATGATGTTGCTGCTATGTAGAATAGTTGCATTTAATAAATTTAGCTTTTTCAGTAATTATGTAATTTTTGTTCATTATCAAAATAAATTTAGTTTTTAGTCTTGATTCATAAAGCCAGGGATGGATATAGAGTACCGAAATATACCCAACTTTGGTGGTGGTTATGCAATTATATTATATCAGAATTATCTTTTTGTAGTTTTAAGCGTTGGAAAAACACAAAAATGCTCCAAATTCAAAAACCGGAATTAAGCTGTACCGATGCGTTTTGATGCATCTGGTGTGAAATATAATCAACCCTTGAATTGATATTTTACTATTTGAGATATGCAAAGCGACAGTGTAAATTTTAACATGCTGTACATGTACTGTAAAGTGGTTAATATTCGGTCATCCGAAAATAGGAATGCATGAACTTTTAAAACTACCAAAATAAACATCTTTACAGTAGTCTAAATTATGTTTCTTTTCAAATTGTATTTCTTTTGGAATACTTTGATAGATTTGATGCCATCATAGTAAACCTATGTTTGATTAATATCAGTTATTTTTAAGTGAACTTGAGGTACATGTGCATCTAATTCCTGTGAGTGAATGCGTCCTAATTCTTGTGGTGGTCGTTATATCATGGATGCATATATTTGTGTTAACTTCACCACTGTGTTAATTAAGTGTAACAAAGTATTACAGTAAAAATATTAAATGAAATCATTTGCTGTTTTTTTTCTTCTTCTTCAGGAAATATTACCTTACCACTTTCAAACGAGAGGAACTCTGGGATACCATTACCAGGTCCAGTACACATAGATACATCCCAGCAGCCAGTATTGGTTAATGCATTGCAATCTCAGTCACAGACATCACTACCAATCGCTATAGCTCCAACATCTCTACCTGTTGCTGTAACAGCGGCATCACTCATGCCAATAACAACGTAAGCCTCATAATCTTGCTTGTGTATTTTCACCTCATCAAAAATGCTGAGATATGCTTGGTCTACCAGTTAGGACAAATTGAAGTACCGTATTTGCTCTATTAGAAGTGTTTCCCCAATATAAGTGCATATAAACCCAAAAGTACAATTAGTGTCATTTTACTTATTTAAAACATAGAAACACATTTGTAATTTATGTAAGTGCATGCATTACTACATGTAACAGAGAAAATGGATTTCCCAGTTTGGATGATGTTAATTATTTGAGGAAATGTGGAATACTTTCGCTGGAATAATTTTCGCTGAAAAGGCTTTTGGGGTGTTTTGTATGGAATTTATTTTCACTGATTTTTGATGAGTTGAATGTAAAATATAGGAAAAAAAGTATATTCGCTGGATTTTATTTTCTTGGAATCATCCCTTCAGCAAAAATAAATTCCAAGCGAAAATAAAGTATTCTACAGTAATTGTTGGCGAAATATAGTAGAAATAAAAGTGATGTTTCAAAAGATTTGCTATATAAATATGCATATATATATATGCGTGTACTGTGTTTGCACTGTTAGTAATGTATGTGCTTTTTAATATGTAAATGACCGAGCTGTTTTTATGATTATTATTATCATTATTGATGTGTTTCTAATAGAGCACATTGTTGGCTTAGTTGCTGTCTGGTTTGCTATGTTCATCTCAAGATCCTTACAGCATTGGATCGAGTTAGGTACAACCAACATGAACAGAAGAACTCAAATAATACTGAATAACAAGTTGAATACGAATAGATGATTAAATTCCCTATTAATTTATTTCAGTCAATTATATAAATTACTGTATAAAAAAGTAATCCTAAAACATTCAAACAAAATGTACCATTAATTAATGACACAGTCTGACATATCAGTGTAACCTATCCCACAGTCACCGGTATGTGTCTAGTGCATAGCAAAATCCCCATCCTGAAAATGCCACATTATAGCATGTTTTATAAACCTGTTAGATGATAATCTTTTTCTTAAAGGGTGATGATCATTGCACCGCGCATGTGCGTCATTTGTGTTGCTAAACATTGATTTTACTACAATCCAATGACCTAGGCACATCTTGCACTAATTATTGCTACCTTCCTAATTATCAATACCTTCCAATCACCTAAAAAAAATACCCAATTAAAGCTTGGTAGCGTCTCAATTTGTCCTCGCTGGTCAAAGTCGCAATCTTTGTTTATATGAGACGCATATCCCACACATGTGTGGTGCGATGACCATTGCTCTTGAATTTTCAAAGATTTGAAGATTTAATTACTGCATGCATTTAGCCAAGTACCACACCCTTGGGAAAATTGTTTTGTAGCCAATTCTAAATCATGAGCACACCCTGCAAACTGGTATGCAACTTAGCTGGCAATATTGTTGTTTTAGTGGCAGTGGAAGTTGTTGCTGTGAATAACTTTTATGATCTACACAGAAAAGATGATATATAGGCAAGAAGATTTAATATTTATTTGTTTGTTTACAGTATAGCATCAGAAAGACAACAACAACAACAACCTAATTCTCAACAACCAATTAGCATTAATGTCAACATCAATATGGGTGGTGGTGGAAACAACATGCTTGTACCATCGAATCGTCAGATTGGTAAAGATACGTCTGTCTCTTCACCTAATGATGTTACAACCATACATTGTATTACCACCAATTCTAACCAGGCAGATGCTGTTACCATGGTTCCAATAAATAAACAAGCTGATATGGAAAATATTCTGACAGAGACATTAGTAACGGAACTATGTAAGTAATAAACAGAAGTGGTTTATAGGCCTCATGTATGACATTTGAAAGGTCACATTACACATCCTGGTTCTTTTGGGGGTATAAATTCATTTCCTCTTTCATCCCAATGCATCCTATCCTATTGCATTGCAATCATCCCAGTGCATCTCAGTACATCTTACTGCATCCCACTACATCCCAGTGTATCCCTCTGCACCCCAATGCTCCTGAGTGCATTCCACTACATTCCAATGAATCCCACTGATTCCTACTACATTCCACTGTATCCCAATGTATATGTATCACATCACACATCCTAGTTCTTTTCGGGGTACAAATTCACTTCCTCCTTCATCCCAGTGCATCCCATTGCATCGCAATCATCCCAGTGCTCCTCAGTACATCTTACTGCATCCCACTACATCCCAGTGTATCCCTCTGTACCCCAATGCTCCCGAGTGCATCCCACT